TTAGGGCTAATACCCTTTTGGACTAAAGATAACACAATCTTAACAATTTCCGACAAACAGTCTTGCGTGCTGGAGATATGTTTTTTTTTATACACTGTTGCTATTGCTCGCTTTGAAATCATCAAGTTTGTTTACCAAAAGTTTGTTAAATTTTTTCTGATAATAAAACAATTTTGAAATTCAAGATTCATGATTCTAGGTGCCCATGTTTTGTGGAGGAGCATGTTATTCAAAATGTGATGGCTCTATCTATCGTTTTTTCCACATTGCAAGAAACATACACACATTAAGGCATATTCTTCAATATTGAATTTCTTTAACCCATGGGAAAGCGCGTTGGGTGTGTCATACCCCATCCCTACATAAAAGTGGAATATTCCTAACTTGTGAAACTGAAATTCTGTGCTGTATTCAGTAGCTGAGTTTCTAGTTGTGGTTGACTTTCAGAATCGCTTTTTCTTTGTCTGTGTGTTTCAGAAAAGATCTATCGGTATATTGTTGGAACTGGGGTATGACACATCCCACGCGCCTGTTCGCGTAAGTGTTTTTCTGACCGAATATTTAGTTCAGATATTAATTTCTGGAGTGTAACAGTAAATATTTCTACTCGCAAGTGATTTTAAAGTACTTGACATTAAATTCTTGAAAATTTTTAACCACATTATCGTAAAAAGAATGACTCCCTATGAATTGGAGATGCAACGCCTGTGAGATTTATTAGAAATATTTGAAAGCGATGAAGATTGCATTTCGGAAACTGAAGATTAAACTAGGAATATTTTCTACACTGTTTTGGTTTCGAAAAAGATAAAAACATTAATTCCTTAATGTTCCTAAATAAGGAAAAATTGTTCTTATGCTTTCAACATTATATAACGGTCATACTATAGATGGTACTATTGTAGAAAAAAATGTCAGGAATTATATGTTTTTATAATATGACTAAAGGAGCAGTGGATATAGAGGATGAAATGTCAGCCAATTATTCAATTGCCAGAATAACAAAGAAGTGGCCAATGGTAATTTTCTTTCGTGCACTGAATATTGCTGTAATAAATGCTTGAATTATATTACATTCAACTACTAATCCACCAACCAGAAACAGAAGTCTGTTTTTGAAGGACTTAGCATTACAATTAATGAAAACAAGTATTGAACAAAGATCAGAGATTAATACTTTACCAAGAAACTGACGTACTGTATGCAAAACAAAAGCAGAAGTTTCGACGAAGAATTAAAACGAATACATGAAATTCAAAACAACTAAATATGAAAGATACGATAAATTTTTTGGCCTCACGCCAAGGACAGAAGAACGTGAAAGCAACGTTTAAAATGAGAAAACATTCTGTGCCAAGAACACATGAATGTATTTCGTGAAAAGAAATAAAATAAGCATTGTTTATTAGAGACACAATGAAACTTAGAGGCATGATGTTTATTTTTTAATTATTTTCATTTATCTTAACTTTAAGATTATTTTCGAAATTAATTTTTTGAAACCCAATTATTACTCACATATTTACAATACATGAAAACAAGAAAAACAGCTTTAAAACTAAATAAAACTATTTTTATCATATTTTAAATATTGGGGTATATGATACCCCACGCGCCCACTCTAGTAACTTTTCTTGGTGCGACTTCCACCGGGTTAACTATAATGCAGGGTGACAAATACTTGGTGGCAACAATGTGAAAAGTGATACAGCCCTTTATAGTGATTCGAAGCAAAATGCCGTTTCAAAACTAACAGCCCTTCTGGGATAACACCCCTTTGGTCTAAAAATATCAAATGCTTTGCTGAATTTAATAACGATGTTACTCAAGCTATATTTTTTAATGAATACTTCCATATGTTTTTGTTTACATAAGTTAGGCACCTCTTAATATGATCGTATTTGTCCATGGCTATTTTGGTATCATTAAATGATGAGACAAAATATCCATCAAAATAGCACAGGAACTCAACAAATTTAATATAAAAAATATCAATAAAAATATAAATAGGTATTTTTAGTGTTTTAGATAGGAGAATGCAAAAGTTTGTTTATGAACTATTTATAATGTCTCTAGTGCAAAACTTTATTTATGAACTGTTTTTAACGTTTCTTATAATTATTTGACCTTTAATCTTAACAGTCAGAAGGTATCTCGGTTAATCTTTGGATTATGGTAACTTGGCGATTTTTTGGCAAAAATTTGGCGACCAATCCTGCTACAGCAACCTGCTAGTTTTTGTTTGGACGCCATTTTGTTTTCACAAAGTAAAAGCATTTTTTTTTTTCTTTTTTTTTTACTCAACATTTTTTCCAACAATCTGCTAGCCGAATTACGCTTATGCTAGAACTTTTATGGAACATAAGTGGGTTGATCTTTACATTATGGAACTTGGCATTTTTTTGGCGAAAATTTGGCGACCAACTCTCCTACAGCAACCCTCTATTTTTTTTTTCCCGCCGCCATTTTGTCTTCACGAGTAAAGACAGTTTCTTTTCTTTTATCTACTGAACCCTTCCTCCAAACAATCTACTAGCCGAATTACACTTATGCTAGAAATTTTATCTAACAAAACTGCTTAATCATGACAAATATTCACTGCAAAATTGGGAAAAAGTGCACAATACCATACTCCTTACGCGTTTTTCAAAATAACACATACACATAAACCATGTACACGCTGACTTATATTTACTTAAAAAAACATCCCAGAATTGCACAAAAATGGCATTGCGCACACTCTTCACCATATCCACGTACACTGCTTTTTTCTCATAAATTACAAAAATTTCACAAATACATGCCAATTTTCTCAATCTTTAAACCCGGTAAAAAGAACATATATGAAATTACCTGATCGCGAAAAAGTATTTACCCTTTCCAAATATGAACATTTCCACATATAAATAAATAAAAATATCCAAAAACTTTTACCTCTAAATCATCTATTACATTATACACTCACCAACGAATTCATGCTGCAAGCATTACAAATACTTAGTATCAAATATTTAATTATTTCCATGCACGTTTACTTCAACTTAAACGTGTACCAAATTCCTACAAACATAAAATTCACAAAATAACTATCATTTAATTAAAATATCACTAAACCATGTACACGCCGACTTATTTTTACTTAAAAAAACATCCCAGAATTGCACAAAAATGGCATTGCGCACACTCTTCACTATATCCATGTACACTGCTTTTTTCTCATAAATTACAAAAATTTCACGAAAATACATGACAATTTTCTCAATCTTTAAACCTGGTAAAAAGAACATATATGAAATTACCTGATCGCGAAAAAGTATTTACCCTTTCCAAATATGAACATTTCCACATATAAAATAAATAAAATATCCAAAAACTTTTACCTCTAAATCATCTATTACATTATACACGTCACCAACGAATTCATACCGCATTACAAATACTTAGTGTCAAATATTTAAATTATTTCCTTGCACGTTTACTTCAACTAAAACGTATACCAAATTCCTACAAACATAAAAGTCACAAAATAACTATCATTTAATTAAAATATAATTAAATTAAAAAAACACTACTTAAAATATAAAGAGCACATACATTAAATTAATACTAACATAAATACCCATTTCGAATTCACTTTAGTTACGGCCATGGGATCCAAAAATTCACGAACACTGTTTCACACAACACAGAATAAAGCCAAATACAAAATTTCCAGATTTTTCCCGATTTCCCCCTTTTCCGATTAAAGAACCGAAATTCGTCCATTAATATCACATGACATATCCTATGATCTCTCATTTCCCTCACACAAAATAATGCGTAACAGGGAACTGAGTACTGCTCACATTATTACCAAAGTCCCAGGTAGTAACCTTTATCGCCTCCAACAATCTGCTCGCCAAACTTACGCAGTTATGCTCGATACTTGTAAAGATCAACCCATAAGTGCTTAATCATGACGAAAATTAGGTGCAAAATTGGGAGAAAGTGCAGAATCATCCACTGCATGCCGCGTTTTTAAGAATTGCACATACACGGTATCTACGTCGACATATTTTCACTTAAAAATGTATGTACACGTCGGCATATCCATGCACACGTCGACATATTTTCACTTAAAAAGACATCCCAGAATTGCACAAAAATGGCATTGCGCACACTCTTGACTTTATTCATGTACACTGCTAAAGTCCTAGCTAGTAACCTTTATCGCCTTACCAAAATATCGCCAAGCTACCTGTTACCATATTCCAAAGATTAGCCGGTATCTCTTATTGGAAGAGAACATACCAATATAAATTTTTTTAATTAAGTAAAAAAGCAATCTGAGTTTGTTGTAGATGATTTCAAAGACTTTGTTTTCCCAAGGGGGGGATTCTGTAAAATTCCTTTTTGTTCCTAAAAAAGAAAGAATTGCATTTGATTGCACTCATAACTGATAGAGTTATTCAAAGCGTATGTGAGGCTAAGGTTGCCGTTTTTCCTAATTTTAAATGACTCATTGAAATCAAAACCAAGCTGTTTAGTCACTTAACCCCTCACCTGGCGACATTTCTCTGTCACTTGGTAATGTTTATACTCTATTTTGATCACAAAAGGAGAATTTACCTTTTATTTGGCGACTTTATTTTTTTAAAAAAATTATTCTCTAATAGTTTCATTATATTAATCAAAACATTGATCACAATAAGAGATGCATTTTCCATGTTTTCGTATACAAACTGGCGGTACTTTGGTAAATCGAAAACAATATTCGAATAACAATATCTGCGAACATATTAAGCGGAGTGTACTGTAACTTGGCAGCCTGTTTATTCACATACTTAATCTATGAATTAAAGCATTAGCATACAACGATGCAGATTCCGTGTTTATGAAACTAAAGTAAAAGTATACATCGCAGTAGAATAAAAGTGTGAAAAATTACATTTTTATAGCAAACAGTTCTTTGTTTAACCGGTACATTCAACCACACATACGAGAAATAAAATTCGGATTACCTGTTAAATACAACAGAATAATTCGCTGCATATTTGTAAACAATTTGACTTCTAACACACTGCGATAACTTTAAGGCACAACAAGCCATTCTTGTAGAGAAATCTGCAGCCAGACATTGAATATACAAATATATCTTATTTTGCACCTTCTAAGTCTTTCTGTCCATAGGGCGAAAAATTAAGCTTAGGTCCATACCATCCTATTCGAAGCTTATTTTTGAAATAACATAGCATGAAAATGTAAATTTACTGAAAAGAGATGTAATGAAGATCAAGTACTCTGCAAAAATCTGGACGGTAATTATACAAAACTAGTTATATGGAAGACTTCCATAAAGTAGTTCCAGCGAAGAAAACATGCCAGCAATCTCCTGAAACTCTAAGTGGGCCTTTTATCTTCGCTATTACCAAGGAGGTTAGAATAGTTCTAACCTCCTTGGCTCTTACGTAGAATCTTCAATTCTACTTAACTTTTGTAAGAGCAAAGATCAGGTGCTAACTTAAAGTTTTAGGAGACTGCTGGCGTGTTTCCTTCGCTGGAACTACTTTATGGAAACCTTCCGTATAACTAGTTTTGTATAATTACCGTCCAGATTTTGCAGAGTACTTGAACTTCATTACATCTCTTTTCAGTAAATTTACATTTTTATGCTATGTAATTCCAAAAATAAGCTTCGAATAGGATGAATATTTGCACATTCTACTGAACTGCCTAGATCTGAAGAATTTCTTTTACTTCCAAATTTTTACCTTATGTCTGCATAACCCGCATTTATTCCATTCGTCTTCTTATTATTGATAGGAAAAAGTAAAGTTATGAGAGAGATTTAGAATACTGAAGTTCATATGAATGTTAATACTGGGAACAAATACGGCATTCTGTCATGAAAAAAAGCAGAAAAATATATTGGAAAAATTTTCACTTTAATATTTTAAGACGAAAAATCTCCACTGTTATTTCGTCTATGGGAAAACCCATGTTAATTTCAAAACGTACTTAGAAAAATTAAACTTTGAGTTTAAAAACGTGAAAAAAAAATTCGTTTAGATTTTTTAAGTCGAAAACGTTTCACTTTAAATTTTTTAGGAAGAAAAATCTCCACTTTTATTCTGTCTATGGGAAAACCCATGTTAAATTCAAAATGTAAGGGGAAAAATTTAAACTTTGATTTTGAAAAGTCGAAAAAAAGTCATTTAGATTTTTTTAGGTCGAAAAAGTTTCACTTTAATTCTTTTAGGAAGAAAAATCTCAACTTTGATTTTGAAAAGCCGAAAAAAATTCATTTAGATTTTTTTTTGGTGGAAAAAGTTTCACTTTCATTTTTCTAGGAAGAAAAAAAATTTTTATTGGTTACCGTATACTTCATTCTCGCTCTAACCCTTTTTCTTTTGAGTTGTAATATTTCTGAACCTGAATCTTCAGAAAACGAAATCATTCTGATTTATTAAATTCCTTCTAAGTGTAGAATATAGTCTTCAAACAGAATATTTTAGTATAAATAAATGCATTATAGACAAAAAATAAGATTAAAAATACTTCATTATTTTTCAGGCCCTATTCCTGAAACTGGTTAAGGTTCCTACTCCTGACTTATCCCATTCGGCACATTTTCAGAAAAAATATTCATTTCTTGTTCATGTTTTCCATACTCAGACACCTTTTTTTTCCCTTCTTATATGTTATATTTCACTATTGCTCTTTGGCTTGGCAGGAAGTTTTTTCATGGATATTGCATACCTCTCCTATGCGTCTGCAGCTAATTTAATAAATTACATTACCAACTAGTGTAAATAATATCTCTAGATATATAGTATTCTCTTGAATGTTTGCTTAATATGTAAATTTGTGAAGCATTTCTGTTTGAATACTTGCATTTGAATTTTTCTTTTTAAAATTAATTCATACTAAAATGTATTAAGGGTTCATTTAAGTTACCAACGTTGGACCATGATATGGAGTTCATGTCAATATTATATGTTTTGTATGGTACTTATGCAAAAATGTTTCTCATATCTGTGAAAAATTAAATATCAGATGTACTCAAAGAGCTGCAAGAACTCTAAGTAATGTCAGTTTGAAATGCGTATCTTCAGTTAAATTGAATATATTGAAGTTACGTTGTATTATTATTTGGAAATTCATGTCAATATTTCCTGTTATGTAGGATTTTATTTGCTATGTATCATAACTTAAATCATTCTCAAAAAGCTGTAAGAGCTCAGTGTTTGTCAATTTGAAATGCATATCATAAGTTACAAGGAATATATTAAAAAGCTTTGAGACTTGTAAAAATAATGATCATACTCTCTGAAAAAAAAAATATTCCGAGCTGGAAAATTTTTATATTCTAAGTTGGGAAAAAAGATGACAAAGTTTCACTTCCGTGACTGAACATTAATTCCATGTCCAGACATCCTTTCTTTTTAGATGTTTTACACAAATATGGCTCCCTAGTGAATTTAAAATATCACATTACAATGTGGATATTCTTCTCTGTAGTTAAAACTTCTGTAGCTTGTTAAAAATTTATGGCTGTGTTAAAGTTCAAATATAGCAGTGCTTATGAAGGTCTGCGGTGGTAAATGGTGGGATCACATTAAGAATCCGTGTGAAGTTCTCCCATTTGATAGAAATCAAAATTTAACGTATATGCAGGTGATTTAAATGCAATGTATACAAGAAAATCCAAGATATTTTTGTAAAATATTTCAAAGAGTCAATCTATGTTAGTAATATATCTGAAACCTCCTGCTCAATTAAAAGGAGTGTTCTGAATATATTCATGTAAATGTCTGTAATGTAAAATAATAGGAAATGAAATGCTGTTGGTACGTATTAAACTGGGGTAGACAATAATAAGAAATTTCATATTGTTTCGTATGTATTTGAACTAAACTGGCTAGAGATGTCCATGTATTAGTTCAAGTAGATTTTATGTTGTGAAAATTTATTTTTTCTGAATTAGAAGGTTTAATTCAAAGTCAGTAGATCTTTAAAAAATCCGTATAAGTCTGTATTTATTTTTAGGAAAAAAAGAATCAGAATATTAACAGGGATATGTTTTAAAAACATGATAAAGGTTAAATGTAAGGCAAAATGTCTAAATGGAAAATAGAAAGTTAAAAATTTACATTTGTTTGACACATTTCGTGAATCCTTTGAACAAAAATGAGATGTGTAAAAGAGAATCCGCGACGTTTTTGTATAGTGTTTCAAAAAGTTAGTATAATACGTTAGAAGAGAAAGTTCGGAGTATCACCCGTTAAGTGTTAATAGTAAGGTGTAATACATTAGAAGAGAAAGTTTTGTATACCTTAAGTATTAGTAGCGTAAAAAAATAATAAGAAATATAATATGCTAAGTAAGCTATATGGAAGGAAAATCGTACTTATTGGTTTAAATTTACAGAAAATATTATCCATGAAACCCTCTAGAGGGAAATTATATGCGTGTAAATTCCAGCTTAAATTTCATAGACAGAGAAATATATATGTAATTTTACGCTTCGAGAAATGGAGGTGCGACATCAATAAGTATTTAAAACATTAAGAAAAACCTTAAGTAAGAGGAAAATAAAAGAAAGAAAAAAGAAATGAAAGGAGAAAATTTTTCAAAGAATTAAAAAAATACTTTTATATAAAAGAAAAATTAAAAATTACTTTTTGAAGTAAAATACAGAAAAAAAGAAAAAATCGTAGGAAAATAAGTACAGCTTTTGTAAAAGAAATAAAGTGAAAAATGTAAAACACGGAAAGGAAAGATTAAACTGAGGGAAAAAAAAAAAAAAACTTTTGTAAAATAAAATGAGAGAAAAAAATTGTGAAAACATATTACTTTTATAAAATCTATTACTTTTGCAAGTTAAATGTAGGGGAAAAGAATGTAAAACTTAAAAATGTGGAAAGAAAAGAAATATTTTGTTTGTATATTCCAGGTGATAATGCCTGATGACGTCACGAACAGGATATTGCACGTTCGGAGCATGGACCTTATCAGAAATAGACTAACCCAGTGGGCGGGGCGTGCGTCACACACATGTCGGGCAGAGAGAGTAGAGACGATTTAGTTTATCGTAACATTGAAACATATGGAGTTTGTATCACATAACTCTTTTTAATTATTAAATGTGATACGTTGTATAAATGATGAGATAATAAAAATCACAGTTTTTGCTAATAAGATTTTATATATCTCATGAAACCACTTTTTAGTGCATTTTGAGTATTTTTTTTACTGCATTTCGAGCATAAGCGTAATTCTTGTCTAAACATTATTACTTTGATAAAACGGTAAAAACACTAAACATAAAATTTATGAATTTACTTTTGCCTACAAATAAAGTAAGATTGAAGTAACATAGATATGCACATGTGCTATGATAACAAATAAGGTAAAATTAAACAAGATTTGGTAATTTTTTTTAAATTTTATGAAAATTTTCAGGCAGTAGTAGCAAATATTTATCATTTCAAATGTGTATAGAAACCAAGGATTGTTTTCTTTATTTTTTCTGTTTTCTAAATTATTATCATAGTATTACAAGATGATCATTTATGACAATATTAATAATTCATAAAATTTGGAGCATAAACTTTTCTGAGTGTAATGAAATATTTTTTTAAAAAATTCGCAGTAAAGAAAAAATCTTTATTCGGAACTAGAAATAAATTAAAAAATATAATTACTATAAAATACCAAGATATTATATGTCCAATCTTAAATTTTTATTAATGCGCCTAAAGTAACCTTGTAATTTTATATACCTGTAAATACTTTAAGCAGAATGACTATACATCCATAAATACATATGTATGAAAGTAAACAATTTAGGATATTTGTTGCATTGAAAAATTCGCTTACTTCACTTTTTATTTCAAATATTTGTAAAAACAAGATTATATCTATTTATCTATTAATGTAAATACCCACACACACATATATATATATATAGAGAGAGAGAGAGAGAGAGGAAGAGAAACAGATAATATGGTTTATTGATGCTTAAATAAAATTAATTTAGTAAATCTGCTTCGAATATTTTCTCTCTGTTTGGATTCATTGTAACATGCAACTGCATGATGCATTCTGATTTTTAAATATTGAAATATCACTGCTTTAAT